ATATAAACAGTCACATCATATCATACATGATGCCTTTTGGAACTGACTTTTTAAAATCAGCATAATCCTCTTGAGATGCATCCAGATTGCTGCATATATCAGTTGTTTTTCTTTTTAATTTTTTAAAAAAAATTTATTGCTGAATAGCCTCCTGTGGTGTGGCTGTGCCAGAGTTTAACGACACGCCCTCATGCAGGCCATCTGGGTCACCTCCAGTGGTTGGCAGTAAGAATAAAGCTGCTGTGAACACTCCTGTACAGGTTTTTGTGTAAACTTACATTTTCGTTTCTCTGGAATAAGTACCCAGTAGCACAATTAATTTCTGGATTGTATGGTATTTGCATGTTTAGTTTCATAAAAAGGTGCCAAAGTTCTCCAGAATGGCTGTGCCATTTTACATTTCTACCAGCAATATGTGAATAATTTGCATCCTTGCCAACATTTAGTGTTACCACCATTTTTTAACTTTAGCCTGATAGGTGTATGCATCAATTTTTAAATTTCTCACCATAGTCTCCCAGCTTTAAGTTTTCTGACTTGCAATCCACGTGCCCGTGATGATAAGAGTTGCCCTGTATAGAGCCCATATGATATGCCAGACACGACCAGGTATTTTATATACGTTGTCTCACTTAATGCCCTTCGTGCCTCCCTCCAGACGAGTCGGTGAGGGTAGATGATGCTGCGCGTCACAGGCAGAAATCCAACTTTGGCAAGGGACATATGCTGATGTATTAGCCAAATTTAAAGTGTGTTCATTCTTTGAGAAATTCTCACTTTTACTAATTTGATCTATAGAAATAGTAAGACAAGCATGCAAAAACATACGTAAAGGAATGGTCCGGCTGACGTTTTACACGAGCCAGAGAACGCGGAAACAGCACATGCCCATCACTTCCTTTTTCCTGCGTGCTTTACCCGTTGAGTGAAGCGCTCTCTGCGGCCATCAGGCAGGTGTGAGATGAGAGACGGGCTTTCCGACAGACACGGAGAGATGCTGTGTACATACTGCCTTTCAAGCATGAAGCATTTCCTACATACACAGAATGTTTAAACAGTCATCTGTGTGCTCGCCTCTGAGATTTCACAGGTGTGAACATTTTGGACAGCTGCTCAGATCTCCCCTTTAAGAAAAGAGGCAGATGTTACATGAGCTGAAACCTCACCTCCTCACCCCTTCCCTCCTCTTCCCCGTGGGCCCCCCTACCCCCGTAACTGCTCTCCTTGTAGTGGGGGTGGGGTCTATCTGATACTCCCCCCCGCCGTTTGTATTAATAAGTAATATATCGTGTAGTTTTAGATGCATTGTAATATGTACAGAAGTGGGTCTTAGGATAAGTATTTTCTGTAACAGGCTTTTTACAAAAGGTGTCCATGTGCTACCTACAGTTTGAAGACCTGGTAGGAACTAGTACTCCTTTCCACCTTAAGCCTCAAATGCAGAACTAGAGGCAGCCCCCGGCCCTCACCTAAGGACAGCGGCAGGATGGCCCAAGGCCTGAGCCCCGTGGTCCTCAGGACGGCGGGGGACCCTTCAGGCGCTTCCTGTGCCCCTACAGCCCCAGTTCACAGGGCGCTGATCAGTGGGTCGGGCTGCACTCTTCGTGGCTCCGTGCCCACCATCCAGCAGTGTCCCCAAACAACCAGAAGCTCCTGGAGCCCAGCCCCTACTTGGAGGTACCAAGGTGTGCCCAGACCTCATGGCAGGTCCTGGGTGTGCCAGCTTCCAGGTTTGCCTGGATCCTGGGACTGCCCGACCAGCTGCCCTGATGCTGCTGAAATGGTTGCCCCAGTCCCCGCAGGTGCTGGTCACTGAGACTTGGTTGCTTTCCCACTACAGGGCCCACATCCCATCACCGGGCTGTTCGGTCCAGCCCGGGAGGGTTACCTGAGGCACAGGGTTTGCCCGCTTCACACCTTGAGGACCAATACCCTGTGTGAGGGAAGCAGCGTGGAGGCCTCCCAGGGCAAGGAAGGGTTCGGAAGTTGGCCAGGGCCCTGCAGTGAGACCAGGAGGCGGAGCCAGGGCATTGTCACCTGAGCTTAACCCCCTGATGACAGACGGGGAGGTCTAGTCGTGCCCAGACAGGGACTCTGAACAGAAGCCTCCCTCCAGTGACAGTGTCTGTGAGGATGAGACAGCAGCCAGGCCTCATTCCAGCTCCATGTGTCTGCACCCTCACGGATGCTTAAGAAACACACGCTAAATGGGTGAGGGAAACCACACAACAGAAGCATGTCACCCTGTGTAACATCTGGGGCCAGAGCATGTTTCTGATAGACACAGGGGCCCTGGTGTCAGCATGGGAGGAGGCCAGCAAGTGCCCACCACTGTCCCAGGCATGAGCCTGGCCCCTCGTCCAGGTCTCCTGAGAGTGAGGGGTCTTGGGACAGTATCGGGATAACATCCAGGCTTCATCCTGACCAAAAGAAGTCCATCACAGAGACCTGTGACTCCTTGCCTTTAGTAAAATTCCATGGTTGAAATTAACCTAACTGTATCCTAAAAAGAAAAAAATGTACAATCATATCCTTTCTTAACATGTTCTGCAAAATAGTTCTTTTGCCAATTAAATGGGAAACTAGAAGGTTTGTGCAAACGTCCTTTCAGAGGTCCTTTGGGTGGTCACTGACTGTGGAACACATCTTGTGGCTACCCCCAGGAGCGACTGCCACCAGGTGGCGCAGCTGCTGCTTTCCGGTCGACTCCTTGTGCACAAGCTCTTCTCAATAAACTGCTTTATCTCGTACTGAGTTCAGTGCTCGTTCTATGAAACTCCAAGACCTGGCATTCGACGTCCTGTAACATCCTGACCCCATTCCTCCGAAAATCACAGCTCTCCCTGCGTGCACCTTGCGAGTGACGTCTCATCTCCCTGGGGCTCGGGAGCAGCCTGTCCTTCCTCTTCTCACAGACCTGACCTGTAAGAAGCTCTGGATCCTCCACCGCAGGAGTTACTACCAGGGGAGAAAGGAGCCTAGCCTGACTTCAAAGGAATCAGGAGATGACTCCCTGTCCCCAAGGTCCCTGGTCTGCGGGACACCTGCCTGTGGGCCCTGAAGGCATCTCACCAGTCCATGGTGTCCTTGGGAACAAGGGGCACTTCCCGTGCAGGATGGGACAGGAGGTATCAGGGTCTGCGGTTGCCTCCATCTCAGAGGGCCTAAGGGTCTTACGGGGGCTTCCCCTCCTCTAGCGGAGGAACCCACAGGGTCCCCTAGCCGAGTCTCCATGTGGAGCTGCTCCAGCTCCTGGGGCCTGTGAGGAGTCCTAGAGCAGATGACAAGGACACAAGATGTGGATGTAACGCTCCAATGCTGTGATGGGGGACACATAGGTCATTTTGGGGATCAGCCATCCAGGCTGGTGTCCTCCCCTGTAAGCCTCAGAATTCCCTGTCACCAGGCCCTTCTTTGAAACACTGGGGACAAACAGCTCCTGAAACAGCACTTCCCCCTGGGGGGACAGTTCTGACACTAGGTCAGGATTCCTTTGGACAGTGCCTGTCCTCTACAGGGCTCACCCACCCCTGGGATGGAGTTGAGCAGCATGGGACCCTCGGCGGCCAGGACCCAGGGTGACTGTCCACTCAGCTTGGAGGTCAGAGCCCACCTCTGCCCAGGGCTCAGGGTCCACTCGTACCCTCTGGAACCGGGTCAGAGCCCCTGGTGCAGCCCCTGACATTGGCTGCTGGTCTCCCTGTGCCCTCTAGGAGGTGACATTGAGACAAAACACACAAATCTGGCTTTGGCTTAGGAGGGAAAAAGAGCCTGATTTCCATAGACCCTGCCTGAGCCCCTCCCTGGTGCCAGCTCTGTCCCACCCACTCCTGCTCCGTTGGAAGTCTCTGTGCTGTCCCCAAACCCCTGCCAGGCACCAACCGTGGGGAAGGCAGTGGCCACAGGAAAGTCCCACAGGCACAGGGCAGAAGCTGCTCCAATCCTCAGGGAGCGCGTGGACAGGCTCTGTGCCTCAGCTCAGCCAACAGCTATGGAGGGCGGTCTCCCCAAGACCTGGAATCAGGTCCAGGGCACCCACAGCCACCTGTTCACAAACCAGTGTTCACCTCACAGGACACTCGGGATGCCTCCCCCTTCACACTTGGCGACGGCAGGTTTTCCTGAGACACTCAGTCCTGGATCTCTGTCCTGGGAGCAGAGGCCAGGTTGGTGACACCTGGAGAGAGAAAGCAGGTCCCCTCTCCCATTGCCATTCAGCTTCCCCTTTCTCGCCCCAGAGTCATCTCAGTGACCTCTTCCAGGGAGGAATTCCAGCCTTCCCAGAGCATCTGAGAGTGTGAGAAAGAGCCAGTGCTCAGCTGGGTTTCCATGTCACAAGTGGAGTAACCCCTGCTTTGGGGACCCTAGGGGTTCTCTGTGTTGATGGCAGCCCCACGGCCACTACACAGCAGAGACCAAGGCGGTGTGCAAACACTCAGGTCCACCACACACCTGCTGAGTCAGAATCTGCATTCGAACAAGATCTGGAGGCACTCCCTGTGCACCCCCACAGCGCAGGGTGTCGGCCTGGCCTGCCCTTCTCCTTAGCCGTACAGCTGCTGAAGCAGCATTTCTAAGGTGTCGCCTGGGCATCGCAAGCTTTACATAGTTTCACTGGTGATTCTGATGCACAATGGGAGTGACATCCCCGTGACAAGAATTCCTGATGTGACCCCAGGCTACTGTTCTGAAGGGAAGAGTCCCACGTGGTAAGAGAGGGCTCTGGGGTTGCCTGGAACTGAACAAAGCAGGATTGTGCGGTCCTGCGGGGGTGGGGTGGGGTGGTGTGGTGTGTGTGTGTGTGTGTGTGTGTGTGTGTGTGTGTGTGTGTGTGTATGGTGGAAAGCCTCAGCTGAAGATGCCAGCGCCCATAGGTCCCAGCGAACCAAAATGTTGACACAAAGAGGATGGGAGACTCTGAGGGGAGGGAGAAGGAGGGTCCTGGGCAGAGACCCGCCCCTCCCTCTCACGTGACTGGGGAAGCACTCCAGCCCTGGGAGGAGCCTCAGCGTGTGCGGGGAGGACGCACAGCTGGTCCCACGCTTCAGGACCGAGGTCTCTGTGAGCGGTTCTAGAGCTGCAGCTCTTCTTGCAGAGGGAGGACTGAGCAAGCAGCAGACACCATGGAGTCCCCATCAGGGCGCATCCCCTGGCAGAGCCTCCTGCTGGCCGGTAAAAAGGGGCAATCCCTGGAGGAGGACGGAGGATGGGAGACAGGGAGTGGCTGGGTCTCCTGGGGAGGACAGCGCTCCGAGAGGGGACAGAGAGCTGCTGCTTGGACCTGAGGGAGAGGACATAGGGTCAGAGCAGGATGGGGCAAATCTCAGCAACAGGACATTCTCATGATTGGAAAGCGGTGAGGGGCAGGAAATCCTAGACTGCTGTGTTTTTAATTTCCGAACAGTAAGTTTTAGAACTGATGACAGTAATCAAAAATGATGTCGGGGTGGGAAGGCTCAACCAGTGGTGGTAAATGTGCTTACCACCAACCTGAGTCATGGGCAACTACACCTCCAGAAAGTGCGGGGCCTGGGGACACAAACCCCCCCCGCATGGAGCTCGTGTCCTATGGGGAGGAGAGGGACGTGGAAAGATGTAGGTGTGATGTCAGGTACCAACAAACACTGTGGAGAAAACAGAGCAGGGAGTGAAGACAGAGAGTCTTTAAAGGAGGTGGCCAGCAGAGGTCTCTTCCAAGGACACCTCTGAGTGTCAGCAGGGGTCTGAGGGCAGTGAGGGGATGAGCTGGTCAGACACCTGGACAAGAGTATGAGAAACAATAAAAATAACAGGTTCAGAGGTGCTGAAGTAACAGTGGCCATACTGCTGACCTTGACCATGGGAGACCCATACATGCACACAGACCGAGGGTGAGAGGGAAATAGACCTGCTCAGCACCCAGGGCCTCCTCTTTCCTTCCCAGTGCACAGACCTAGATGTTGATCGATTTCTCTCTCCCCTCCTAGTCTCACTCTTGACCTTCTGGAGCCCACCCACTGCGGCCCAACTCACTGTGGTTTTGACCAGTGCTGCTGAAGGGACGGATGCTCTTCTTCTTGTCCATGGTCAGCCAGAGTTTCTTGCAGGCTATGTCTGGTTCAAAGGAGAGAGTGTGGACAGCAGCCGTCAAATTGCGTCATATGTAATAGATGCTCAAGAAATGCACCCAGGGCCTGTGTACAGCAGCCGGGAGACCATTTACCCCAATGGATCCCTGCTCTTCCAGAATGTCACCCTGGGGGACACAGGGTACTACACCCTAGTAGCCATAAAAAGAAATTTTCAAGGTGACAGAGCAACTGGACGGCTCCACGTGTACTGTGAGTGATTGCCCTCTGCCCTCTGGGTGTCGGGTGGAGTGAATTCTATCTCCCACACGGGACTGACAGCCCTGGACTCTGCCTCCAGCACCCTCTGCATCACGTCCCAGCCTAGGGCTGGGCATGTGGTGCAGGACACACTCAGTGGAGACAAACTACCCAAGACAAAGTTCAATTCCCACAGTCCATCCCTGCAGAGACATTCAGCAAAGAGGGAAGGGCCAGTCTGGTGGGACTAACTCAGCAGAGGGAGACCAGCCTCTGCCCAGCCCTGGGGCCTCTACCCATGACCATGACCCCAAGAAAGAAAACCTGCAGGGCTCAGTCGGGGCCTGGATGGAGGGGCCCCTGGGATCCTCACAGAGAAGCTCAGCCTGGTCAGCCCCTCCCTAGACCTTTGGTCCAGGGCTCCTGACTCCAGGGATTCTGGGGCCCGTGTCAGGTTGGGTTTGGTCTGTGGGCAGGGCTGACTGTGAGCAGGGATTTCCCAGCTGCCTGAGTCACAGAGCCCTGGAGCTGGTCACCAGCCAGGGCTCAGCCCCAAGAGCCACAGGGGGGCAAGGAAGGGCCTGGTCCTTCACCGGAGTCTGTGTGGAGAGCACAGACGGACAAGGTCACCAGGCCATTTGCGGACTGCCCTGGGGGACCTAGGAGAGTGTAGACGAAGGTCAGTGCCTTCGGGGAGAAACAGGAGAGAAGAGCTCTGGGCAGCCCCTCGCCCCCAGGGCTCAGCCTGGGGGATCGTTCTTGGAGTCGATCAGGAACAGATGCCTCTGATTTGAGCAGCACCCCTATCCCGAGATTTAGGTCTGATACTGTGAATATTTAACGGTTAATGCATTGAAAACTCTGTAGCCAAATATTCATCCTCCTCCACTGAGGAGAAACCGGGACCCAGGGAGGCACCGTCACAAGCAGCTCGCCAGAGTCACTTGAGGTCTGTGTGCAGCCGCAGCCCCATCTTCCCCTCTGGCCCAGAGGCCTTGCCAGGTGTCTGTGCATCTCTAGACCAGCCATTGGCTGAGGCCCTGTTTTCTTAGGTGTCCTCGCCCAGAGGGAGAGATTCTGGTCCGGGGAGTGAAAGGAATTGCAGAATTAATCTGTTTGTCTCCTGAACCCAATTACCTGCGGTGTCAATCAGACTCAGTGCTGGGAACACCCAGGCCTCCCCCTCTGTGGCCGATCCACAGCTCCCTGCACTGGACTTGAAATCCCTTCTTTGTTTCCTGATGTGTTGGTGTCACTCCCACTGGACATGACAGGACTGTGTCTCTCACTCCCCGCTCCACACCTGCAGCCAGCTCAGGGACCGGCACTTGGTGGCTCTTTCGTGAGGGAGAGAAGGGATGAACGGTGAAGGAATGAGGGAATGAATGATCCAAAGTCCTTTAGAGACTGGCACCTGGATGCAGAGTCCTTGGAAGCAGCCCTTTTTCTCGAGGGCTGAGACCCCTGTCTCAGACCCCCTGCTGCTCTCTGGAGAACTATTCCTTTCTGCAATTGGTCTTTGGCCCTGGAGTATCAATAATACACTTACATATGGACATCTTTAAGTTCTTTCCGTATTTCTGTCTCATGACCACCAAAAACGAATGGTCTGCAGGAGGCAGAATTTCAGCAGGCTCATGCTCCCCACTTGTCCTCTGTCACCTGTTTTGCATCTGTGCAAGGCCTCACCTGCCCTCAGCAGACAGAGGATGCCTTCCACGACCAAGCACAGAGCACATGGTTCTGCCACAGTCAGCTCCCATCTGTCTGCTTCGCCCTTTTCTAGATCACGCCATGGACTCTCCTCTTATTTGTTGGCTCACTGGCTTGTGCCAGTCACACTAACCTGGGAAGATCTGACCCTCCTCTTGGCCCAGGGGTCTGAGTAGTTGGTGGACCACCAGCTTGCTCCCAGTCCCCAAGTATTCTTTCTGTTCGAACCCCAGTCGTTAGGATAAATGGTGCCTCATGGAAACACACTCGGCTGGGCATGGAGGTCTGTGCAGCTGGAAGGTATGGTCCCTGTTCAACCAGGCAGTCAGCTGGTTGTTGAGGACCCAGGAGAAGTGTGGGTGGTCTCTGACTCCCAGGCCTGTGTCTTCCCAAGACTAAACCCTGGTATTTAACTGACACCTGAGAAGTCTGTGCTGTCTCCCAGATGCAGTGCTGGCAGCCCTACATTCCCTGAGCACTCAGATTCGCAGTCATGCATTTGTCTTCAGATGCACAGACCTGACTTACTCTTTTAAGGACTCAAGTTGGCTGAGAGGTGCGAGGTATTATCTCTGATTGAAGAAGCCTTTGGAGGAATCGAAGGTACCACCCAGGGCAATGTTCCCTCTGTTATCTGCAGAGCAGTTAGCCAACCCCGACGTCACAAGCAACAGCTCTGACCCCAAGAGTTTTGACAGTGATGTTGAGCATCTTTTCATGTGCTTATCAGCCATTTGTGTATCTCCTTTGCAGAAATGTCTGTTCAAGTCTTTTGCCCATTTTCCAACCTGGTTATCTGGTTTTGTTGTTGTTGAGTTGTAGTTCTTCTCTTTCTCTATTCTAGACATTAACCCCATATCCTGTATATCATTTGCAGAGTGTTTTCTCCCATTCCATAGGTCACCTTTCACTCTGGTGACATAGGTCACCTTTCACTCTGGTGACTGTGTCCTTTGGTGAACAGTTTTTCATTTTTGCAAAGTTCAAGTTATCCATCTTTTTTTTGCCTGTATTCTTAATGTCATATTCAAGAAATCATTGCCAGATCCAGTGTCATTAAGCTTCTCCTTACATTGTCTTCTGAGTTTTGCAATTTTAGGTCTTACCTTTAGAATTAAGTCCATCTTGAGTTAATTTGTGTGTAAGACAATGGTCCATTTCTTTGTTTGCAGCAGAAGTTGTTGTTCATCATCATTTGTTAAAAAGACTGTCCTTCCTCCACTGAATGGTGTTGGCTTCTTTGTTGAAGCCATTTGCTAATATGGCTGTCCCTTGCTATGTCTCAGTTCACCTACTGGTGGCTTCACTGTATCGTGGGTTTTCTTAAGGCCGCAATACAGTGAAACCGCCAATAAGTGAGCTGTGATATAGCGAGGGACGACCGTATACTTCACTGGTGAGCACCCATATAGAATTTTATATGTTGTTAAAATTACATAGGTTTAAGAGTGTAGAAAGTGTTTAAGAGCATATGAAGTGTTTATAAGAGTGTGGGAAAGGTTAATAAGAGAGTGGGAACGGTTTATAGGAGTGTGGGAAGGGTTTATAAAGCCTTAAAATATATATAAATAATAAAATAAATATAACGCCACTACTTCATGGATTTTCACCTATTGCGGAGTTCTCTGGAACATAACTCCCACGACGGGTGAGGGATCACTCCATAATGGAGGCTTTATTCCTGGGCCTCTACTGTACTCCACAGTCTGTCTTTATGCCACTACCGCAGCATTTTGGCTACCTGAGCTCCGTAGTGAATTTTGAAATTAGGAAGTGTGAGACCTCCAAATTCGTTCTTCTTTTTTAAGATTGCCCGAACTATTTAGGATCCTTTAAAATTCCATATGAATTCTAGGATGGACTTTTCTATTTCTGCAAAAATGTCACCAGGATTTTGATATGGCTCATATCAAATATGTAGATATTTCGGGGTACAGTGACACTCCAACAATGTGAAGTCTTCCAATCTATGAACATGGATGTCTTTTCATGTATTTCTTTACTTTCAGAAATGTAATTTTCAGTGTATACTTCTTCCACCTCTCTGTTTAAGTTTGTTGCTAAGTAGTCTATTCTTTCCGATACTGTTGTAAGTGGGATTGTTTTCATTAAATTCTGTTTTGGGATCGTTCATGGTTTTTGTCAAGAAATGAAGATGGTGCTGAGTATTGATTTTGTCTCCTGCATCTTCACTGAATTCATTGCTTCTACCAGTTTGCTTGTTTTTTTCAGTACATGGACTATTTAGGGTTTTCTACATATAAAATTATGTCATCTGTTAAAAGAGATAGTATTTCTTCTTACTTTCCAATTTGTGTGCCTTCTATTTCATCTTCTTGCCTGGTTGTTCCGGCCAAACTTTCAGTACAGTGATGACTACAAAGGGTCAAAGCAGTGTCCTTGTCTTGTTCACAATCTTACTAACATTTTCTGAGTTTCTCCATGGAGTATTGTTAGCTGTGGACTCTCATGTTTGGCCTTTTTCATATTGAGTAGTTTCTCTGTATTCCTACAGTTCTCATCTGTTGTTAAAACCGTAACTACTTCTCTGGAGAGTTCCTTTATGGTGATATTCCATCCACAGACCAGGAAGTAAAATCCTGCTCAGACCGAGAAATCCTGTAGAGGAAGCCTCTCCAGGTCCAAGGTCGTGAAGACTGGGTCGGGCTGTTTTTACTGTCTAGTAAATTATTTAACAAGAAGTAGATGCCTTCCCACTTTCTGAAAAATTTCCTTGGCCCCAGAGATGGACAGAAATGGCAAGCCTGCCTTCCCCAACATGCATGAAGTTTACATGAGGAACAAAAGCTGATCTTTCTTGAAGTCAAAGCAAGTTTTAGGAAAGGGTCAGAAGTCTGTAGAAGAAAACCTGTGCAAACCTGAGGATGAGGCTGTAGGCACGAGGGCTGACAGGGGGTTCCTGGTGCTGATACGCAGAGATGTCCGCGCGGGCAAGTCAGGGCTCAGCCTGGGGTCGGGTCGGAGAGCAGGTGCCACCCTCTCCTTACAGACTGCCCTCTTCACAGAGACACTGGTTCTTCTGCAGAGGCCAGGGCCATCCCTCAGCGATGCCCCCAGAGCTCACTGTGGACAGTGAGCGGCTGGGATCTCTGAGGAAGGAGCCCGCTCTCAGTCAGTCACCTCTGTGTCTCCACAGAGCCCGCGGGGAGGCCCTCCACCCGAGCCGGAACACCACCGTGATGTGTGTAGGGACACCATGGTCCTGTCCTGTCTCACACGTGACACTGGGATTTTCATCTGGTGGATCTTCGGTGACCAGAGGCCGTGGCTCGCGGAGAGGATGGAGCCATCTGGGGCACCGGCACCCTCACCACAAACCCCGCCGGGAGCGGGGACGCTGGGGTTCTGTCCATGTGAGGTCTCTGACACCGTCAGCTCAAGCAAAAGTGACTCCGTGGGCTGGATGTGAAATCTGAGTGACCCTCGTCCCCTCCTCTCTGTTATTAAACTACGAGTAGATTTTTTCTTATCTGAAAATGATGGTTGTGATGCAGTTCCTAAATAGTTTTCCTTAGGAGTGATAAAGGTGGAAAGTCCTTGGAAAACTTGCACCGAGTCAGTAAGTGCTCAAAAGTGTGAACTGACAGAGTCGTTACTGTTGACTTAAGGTCAAGTCCACTCCAGACCCCACCTCTGGTTGGTCTCTGGTTGGTGCATCTCTGTTGCACCATCTCCACAGTTGAGGTGACACCAACACTGAGTCCCTCAGAGGGTGGGTGGTGGTCGTGTGATGACCCGTGGGGGCACACGATGAGCCTGCAGGAATCTGAGCTCTGTCCCTTCTCCAGGGGCACATGTGGATGGTACCTGGAGTCCTGCATGGATGACAGGAACAGACAGGAGGACCCACGTGCAGGTGGCAACACCAAGAAGAAATGCACTTGATGTAAAGCAACCTGCTCCCATTGTCCTGCTCAAAGGTGGGAGGAGAAGGGATCGGAGAGCCCAGGTCTCAATCTGAGACCCTGGGATAAGGTGCAAGTGGAGTGAAGGGGCAGTCTCCAGGCAGGTTCCACCCCATCTTAAGACCCCACCCCACCTCCTGAAGAGCAATGTGTGCATCGGGGACATGAGTCTCAACAACAGGGACCCCCTGGGCTGAGACTCAATGACAGGGACACAGGCAGGACACGATCTCCCTCCTACATGAGGTTCCAGCATCACCACAGAAAGAGGCACCCAGGCACACCTGCTCATGGGGATACCAGCCCAGGCCAGAGGTGGACCCCAAAGTCCTGGGACATCCCACACCTCTCATGCCTGTACCAGCCCCTGCAGGCTTTGCCCTCCTGAGTGAGCAGCCCCCAAGCCCTATCCTCCAGGGAATGCCTTTCAGCTCACTAAGCCCCAGGGATTCCTGGACACCCAGATGTCCCTGCAGGGGGCATCCTCAGGTTGGCCACATGGGACCTGACCTCGTTCTTCCCCTCAGCTTCCCAAGGCCCAGCAGGCTCTCCTGGGATCTCCTCTTCCCAGGGGCTCAGTGAAGGGTCACCCTCCCCTACGAGGGAACACCCAGTGCCTTACAGGATTGTCAGCACCATGGGCCTGACCAGTGGGACTGACCTTCCCTCTACTCCCCAGGCTGCAGCTGATCTCACCACTCAGTCGTCCTGGTGAGCTCCATTCCTTCTTTCCACACCTGTCCGCAGGGAGCATCTGGCCCACCTCAGCGTCCCCAGACTGAGCACAGGAGTGGGTCCTGCCCCACAGACCAGCTGAGGGGTCTCATCCAGGGAAGAGATGAGCTAGGGACCCCAGGAGAGGAGCACCTACTGTTCCCACCTGGGCAGGTGACCAGTGACTGAGCTCTCGCTCTGTCCCTCGGGTCTCCCTGGGAAGGACTAGTAATCTGACCACATCTGTGAGGAGGGCTCTCAGGGAGGCAGCGTGAGGTTGAGAGGTTTTGATGCAGGGAGGTGGCTGTGGAAGGTGTTCAGTGGAATGGAGGGAAGCCTGGGGACAAGGCAGGACCTGGTCTGAGGAATGGATGGGAGCAAAGGGAAGGGAGAGGAAGATCAGAGAAAGCTGCCCCCGCATCTCAAGGGTGATGGGATGGTGAGCTCTAAGGGAAGTGGCTGCATGTGGTCCATCAGGGGACCTGTCAGTCAGGTCTCCCCTCCAAGGGCATGTCCTGGGGACACTGCCCAAGGGGAGGTAGCTTTGCCCAAGCCTGGCCCTGAATGCTGACTGGCTCCTGCCTGACCTGCTCAGACCACTGTCTATGTCCTTCTCAGCCCAGGCATGGCCGGGACCCGGTATGAGGAGGAGCTGAGTCCCTGGATCATGTCTGACAGTTTCATCAGAAAGTGTCCATCACACACAGAGAAAAAACCCAATCCAATTAAAAAATGGGCAAAGGACCTGAATAGACAGTTCTTCAAAGAGGACATACAGATGGCCAATAAACATGAAAAGATGCTCAATGTGACTAATCATTAGAGAAATGCAAATTAAAACCACAATGAGATATCACCTCACACCTGTCAGAATGGCTATCATCAATAAATCTACAAACAACAAATGTCAGTGAGGATGTGGAGAAAAGGGAACCCTCATGCACTGTTGGTGGGAATGCAGACTGGTGGAGCTGTTGGGAACTTCCCAACCTGGTTTCAGAAGCTGTAATACCCCATGTCTAAGGCTGAGTAAAGGACCTTTGGACCATAAACCACTTAGGAGACAAAACTTATCTTCCTTGTAAGGGCACAGCCACTGCCACCTCTCACTTCACTCTGCTTGGCCGTAGGCAGATGACTGGTTAGCCAATGATGGGTAAGATTCCTCAAAAGAGGGACCACCTAAGACAGGCACAGTCACAAAGGGGCCCTCAGGGAAGGACTTGAGGGTCTATAGAAAAAGGGGGTGATGGACTCTCGCCCCTCGGCTTTAACATAGCCTGAGTCCTCATTCTGTCTGCAAGAGGTCTCCTAATCTCTTGGCTGCCTTATTTCCCCTGCCTGACTTAAGCCTGAAATAATGCCTTAAGCCTGAAACAATACTGGAGGTGGGTGCAGGTCTGTGCTGGAAAGGGCAGGTTCCCTAGGGGATCATGCCTAAGAAAGAATGCATAAAATCCTATGAAACCTACTTTGCTAATACCCTCAATTTAAATGATAAGGGTCCAAATGGGAAGTGAGTTTGTTCCCTAAAAGTTTTATGGCCCTTTACTATCTAACACTGACTCAGAATAAGCCCTCAGAGTTCTTTGAATATTATCTATTGTTTAATCATTTCTGCCTGACAATGATTGATGAGCTTCACATATACACCCTGTGTTCCTGTGCAAATTGAACCCAATAAAAGCTTGTCAAGGGAAGGGTTGAGGCACTCTCCTCTTGAGAGGGTGGCTGAGGTGCTCCGAGGTTTTTCTCCTCTTGAGAGGGAAGCTGTGCCGTCCCTTTTCCTCCACAGGACTCGGTAGTCTGTGTGAATTTGTCTCTCATCTCATCCATAACATTGCAGACCCCAGGAGCCGGGATCCGCATCATGCAGCCACTGTGGAAAGCAGTATACCTCAACAAATTAAAAATGGGTCTGCCTTTTGACCCAGCAATCCCACTTCTGAGACTATATCTGAAGGAACCCAAAACAATAATCGGAAAGAACATAAGCAGCCTTATGTTTATCAAGCAGCATTACTTACAATAGCCAAGATTTAGAAGCAGCCCAAGTGTCTATCAGTGGGTGAGTGAATAAAAAACTGGTACATTTACACAATGGAATACTACATGATCATAAAAAGTAATTTTTACCTTTTGCAACAGCTTGGAAGGATGTAGAGAGTATTATGCTAAGTGAAATAAGGCAGTCAATTATATGTGAATCTAATAAAATAGACAAACTCATAGGATCCAGAGAACAGGCTGACAGGTGTCAGAGGGGAGGGATTGGGGGGCTGGATAAAAAAGGTGAAGGGATTAAACAATGATAATAGAAAAACCAACTTGTAGACACAACAGTATGGTGATGACCAGAGGGAAAGGGGGTGGGGGGGAGGTAGAAGAGGGTAAAGGGGCGGGGTAAATGGTGATGGAAGGAGACTTTACTTTGGGTGGTGAACACATGGTACAATATACAGATGAGGTGTTATAGAATGTACACTTGAAACTTACATAATTTTATTGACCAATATCACCCCAATACATTCAATACAAATGTTTTAAAAAGAAAACACCCCTCCTTCCCGGGAGGTGCCGATCGAGGGTTGGGTGATTACTGTTCCTGGTCCACTTGCAGAGGGTGCCTCTCTGCCCCAGTCATGGTGGAGCCACAGGAAGACCCGGGTGCTCAGGCTCCTCTGGGGCAGCGAACCCCGACTGAGGCTGTGCCCAGGGCAGCCGACAACTGTGCACGTGGGGCCTGGTCACACGGCTCTGCTTGAGCACTTTAAATCTTGGTACTTTATTAAAAATACACTTCTGCCGAAAGTTATGCAGCACAGCTCAAGTGGTGTGCCCAGGAAATTCAGTACCTTAGATGGTCCTCCTAGAAAAGGTTGATTAAAAATGAACTAACTCTCCACTTTAAAAGATGAGAGAAAAACAGAAGAGGAAAAGATAAACTTAAAAGTAGAAATAATAAAGTAGAAGACAATAGAGAATCAAGAAGATTGACACAACATAAATTACTTTCTTGGAAAAGTTTGTCAGTGTTCTATCACCTGTGAAAAAAATTAGCCAACCAAGTAATAGAGGAAGCACAAGTAAGGCCTGTGAGCCGTGGGGAAGAGAGGGGTGTAACTAAGGCTGCAGCCGGGACTGAAAGTCCTGAAAAATCTTTCGGACATAGAGTCTGTAATTTAGACAAAATTGACAACATCTCTGGAAAATTAGAAGTAGCAAAAGCCAATCAAGACTTGTACCATAACGATGAAGGAAATCGGGTTAATAGTTGAGATACCGTCACACAAACACTCACTCACACACTCGTGCATCACGCACACGCCGCACGTGTGCACACTCGCAGCAAAGCATGGGCGGCCTCAGAAGGAACTCGAGCATCTCCACGGAGGAAAGACACACCCCTAGACCTGAGCTCACACCACGCAATGACCTTTTAAACATTCACTCAAGTTAGAATTTATGTTTTTCGAAAGACATCCTATTCTCTCTCTCTTTTATACATGCACAAGTTTTATATATGTCCATACATGCACCTATACATCAGGCACCTTTATGTTTTTTTGTGTATCTATATGACAAATAAGCCTTATCCCATGCACGTAACAAAATCCTACAAAAGCAACAAGAAAAAGACTGACAATCTGATTTTTAAAAAGATTGTATTTATTTATTTCTAGAGAGAGGGGAAGGGAGGAAGAAAGAGAAGGAGAGAAACATCAATGTGTGGTTGCCTCTTGCTCGCCCCCAACTGGGGACCTGGCCTGCAACCCAGGCATGTGCCCTGACTGGGAATTGAACTGGTGACCCTTTCATATGCAGGCCAGCACTCAACCCACTGAGCCACACTAGCCA